TTCTGCAGAATCGGAGATTTTGCTGCCACCACTTTCTGTGCAACCGATGCGCAAAAATAAGTCCTCAACGCTGGGTGTTGTTGGACGTATTTAAAGAATTTTCAGCTGTTGAACGGTGAATTAATCTATCGAATTTGTCTGTAATGCAACAGCGTTCGAAATGCTGGTGAACGGTCACTCAGCTATTTGCATCACTCGCAACGCTTTTTTGTATTTTGTGAATAAATCGCAATTTCGCTCTTGGGACTCTACTCGCTGCGTAAAAGCGTCATCAGAATTATAACAACAGCTGCGTAAGAATTTATTTAAAGCGTTACTTTAATTGAATGCCATGTGATGTTTTTACTGGGCCTTGTCAAGCCCTCTCGAATGTGTTTATTATGAAACAAAAAATCTATCTGAAAAATATGCTCATTTTGGTACAATATTATTGTGTGTGATCGTACACCTACATATTTATGCCTAAATTGTATGGGGTTTAGTGTTGTGCGACGCTCCTCTTTTGTGTAGAATTTCCACATGGAATTGTCTGTAGTTTTAGAAAGCATTTGTATGTGTTTTTCGTGTTTGACATTGTAAATATAATATGTGTCTATCTATATAAATATACGTCAACGAATATCGTGTTCGATTATAATTTTAAGATTGCGGAACCCCTCCATCATCTTGTTTTACCAACGTACATAATAACATAAAATTATTTATATTACGAATTATACTGTAGTGCAAAACACATTGAGAACTTTTTTAAATCGTAATATCTATTTTGTAACATTGCTTACATTCTCGCATGTAGATCGGCGCATTTTTTAATGAGAAAATTTTTAATTTAAAAAAGATAATGAGAAGAAATAATGTAATTGGCCAAGAAATTTGTTTATAAATGCATACAAATATAATAAACAAGCATAAACATAACCATTACTATACATATTTAATTATAGTGACTATGTACTAGATACATATGTAAATACATACTTGTATATGTATTTTTGAATGAATGAATGGTTTCGCTTAACGAGTGTGAGACTATTTGTATAAGCTAACATTATTTACAAATACATAATATCTTAAATCTTAAAACATACTTTATTTTACAATAAAATATAACTATCTATTGTAGTTAAGTAAAAAATTTTGTGTATACATTTATTTTCTATAAATCGGCGGGAAGTGATGAGTAGAAACAAGGCAGACGGTTGTAAAATGGTGAATAGACCCGCGTGAAAACATATATATGTGTACTCAATTTCTATTTTGCGTCCGCGAGATGCCATTTGGAGCTTTGGGTCACGTCAGCAAGAGAGAGTGCTTTAGTCCACTTTGACGTATTCGGTTTCAGAGTCTACTGAAGTTTGCGTTTTAGCACAGTTTCTGGTTGTGCGGGGCCACATAGGAAAGTTTTAGAAAAAGTACAAGATAGCCTCGAGAAATTTTATGATGGCGAACTAGGCGAACGTTTAAATAACTTAAGATTTGAGGGCATGTTCGAAACCACAAGGTGGGAAGGTGTCCAATTGGTTGATGTTCTCTGGAAGAGAAGTACGATAATGGACCTTATGAATAAAAACTAAGCAATTGCTTTTTTTAAATTTCAGACCTTTTACTTAAATCTCTTTTAGTAAATCGAGTAAAAGGTTTGAAATTGAAAGAACAAGCAATTGCTTGATTTTTATTTATAAGGCCCAATGGACTAGATTTTGCTCATCAAGCTCATAGAAGTCGTCTGAACGAAAAACGGGAAATCGAAAAGACCCTGTTCAGACGGAAGACACGATTCCAATATTCTGGACGCGTGTACGATCCAAGAACCAAGCATGCAGTCAGCTACTTCGTTACTCGATTCAGCAGCTGCTCTGTTGTTGCTGTTGCAGCAGCATACACATTCCCCAAAGATCTTGTCCGTTCCCGTTACAGAGACTCGACTGTTGTGGGAACGTCACACCGGCTCTGAGAAAGCACGCTTGAATACACCGTACAAACCAAGGAGTTATTGGTACGAGGAGAAATGCGATGCGGCTGCAGAGAGAAATATGTCTACTAAGCCACGTTGCTCCGTGACGGGATCTACATATATGGGAGTGATATAGGAAGCTGAAGAGGGAAGCGAGGCTTTCTCGAATTTAAGGAATCAAAGGGTGTGGGTCTGATAGTGAACGCGCATAAAATTACGTATGTATCTCCTGTCTTCAGTTAAGTACTTAGCGCATCCACGCACCTTAAGCACCCAGTGTTTTAGAGAAGATCGTTTGCTTGGCACCAAGCATTTGCACCCATAGCCACGCTTGCTTTGAAATCCAACAAAGAATGCTGCCAATAAGGGTGACTTTGGACCGCGAAGTGGTTGAGCTGTAAAGTCCTTTCTCGGCCAATGAAAATTAAATTTGTTAAGTCTCTCATCATCTTGGCCGTAATATATGGCGCTGAAGCGTGGACTATGGAAAATCCTAAGAAACGCTGTTGGCAACAAACTCAATTGACCGACCGGCTCTGAACTATGCAGCGCACGTGTGGTCGCCGAGGTCTAGCAGGACGTAGTGGATGAAGTTACATACCTATCTCCGTCATAGCGAGGCCCAGTGCTACCATAAATTGAGTACATCAATATGATATGGAAGCAGTTCCTAGTAGAGCGCTATAGTCGTGAGCACTCGAACCTACACCTATTTGAAGCGGAGCCTCGACCTATACACGTCGGATGGCATCTCTACGAACTAAAGGCCGAGGTACAGCAACATTCTGTGCAGACAGGCTATAAACGGAATTCACAGGGAGTCTGTCTCAACCTACACCAACATACGACCTGTGAATACCGTTTTAGGAGGACATCGATACATACATAGATTTTTTAATTTTTGATACAACCGATGTCTTTGGGATGGAATCGATTAAAATCGAAGAAAGTTCCTTCGCTATTTGTAAAAGTAACGGTGAGTAGATAGTGCGCTATGGGTAAAACTAAGATTATATTTGTGCAACGTAATTAATCATCTTTATTACCTTAGAACAGATATATATATAAAATATTGCTGTTGGTGGAGTCCTCAGTGAATAAATGGAAAACAACTTTTTTTTAATCGGTTTTATTTAGCTTGCCCTGTTTGTTTCTTCTTGGGTAAAATCTAGTTATTACAAAAAGAAAACAAATTTAGGAATTTAAAGAATCGTGAGTCTGTATAACACATAAATGTAGTATAATCAATGTATTCTTGAAGTTTCGAACGTTTTTATTGATCCTAGAAAATTATATTGACCACGAAAGAGAAGAAAACATTTTCCTACGTGTCATTCCTATGGGAAAATGAACGATCGATGCGGCACGTCTTAGAATTATCGTAGAGGCGAGATTCATTACTAAACCGACTAAATTCAGGAGAAGGACTTTTATCATTTCGACAGAGAAGTGGCAGACATCGTTCCATGCTTCTTCGCTCGTAAACATTATCGGTACCATATTTTCTGGTGTTATACAGAGGCCACATTTAGTATTAAGTGCGGATCTCATGGAATTAAAGCGGGGGCATTTGAAAAATGCGTGCTCGGCGACTTCAATAACTGCCGGTCCACACTGCTCGCAATAAGGGCTTTGCGCCTGTCCAAAGCGATAAAGACATGCTTTAAAGCATCCGTATCCACTGATGACTTGGGTCAGATAGTAGTCGACTGTGCCGTGTTGCCTGCTGAGCCAAGTGCCAATTTTTGTTGAGGCGGTAAGTCCACCTGCCCTTTGTTATTCTGTCCCACAGTATCTGTGACTGTGCTTCAGTACGTTCTTTTGCTGCGGTTTTAACTGCGCTGTGTAGTGGGCGTGGTTGGTCACGGTTCGCCTTTCTTGTTTCGTGTACTTCTTGAGCTACGAGATCGAGTGGACATAATTCCGCGATGATAGAAGCTGCTGCATCCTCGGAAACGGTTCTGAAGGCTGAACAAACTCTAAGAGCACATAAGCGATACGTAGCATTAATGGCCCGGCAGTAGGATGGCCGTTTAAAAGCGTCGAGCCAAACTGTTGATCCATAGAGAACTATTGATCGTACTACGCTTGCTAATACTTGCCTAGACTGCTGTCTTGGTCCGCCGTTGTTCGCCATTAGTCTAGACAGGGTTGCTGTTGCCGTCGCTGCTTTCTTGTTGGCGTATTCCAAAAGATTCCGGAAGCAAATGCGGTGATCCACCAGGACGCCGAGGTACTTTACGTATGGCTTGGACTCGATGATGCTATCACCTACTCTAATCTCTACTATTTCCACCTTCTGATTTTTACGAGCCCTCAAGGAAATGTGTAATTAATGGAAATTAGGAACTACAAGAAACACATGATTTCCGTCATATCGATCGGCTTTGTGCCAAATTGTTGTCCTTCTGTTAAGAGATCACCAAAATAGGTTTTGTAATTTGCACCGATTTCAAATCGTAGAAGTTGTGAAAATCGATTTTTTGCTGCTCTAGTGATGACGCAGAACTTCAAATGTCACGGGAGACCCGCACAACACTAGCACAACTTCGGTCTAGCCACTGCAGCAGACTAAATTCTTACCTGGACGGACTAGACCCCGACGTACGCACATATGTCCGGTATGCTGAGAGTCTCCGCATGTCACGAAACACCTCTTTACATTCCCACACAACCCAACTTAGATAAGACCACTCTCCCTCTGCTCCAACCGTCGTAGTGGCACCCAATCCGATCGAGACAGAGCTAAGTAAGCCGCAACAACAATGTGAATAGGCGAGCTATTTTGAGCTCCGACAAATCGCACCAGCATTAATTAGGAAGCCATAAATTAAACAAACTCATTATTCTCTGCATAATCTAATAAGAGCAATGGGAATTTTATTTCGCCTTACATTTGACAAGTATCTATCTTAGCGTTGATTAACGGGTTTTCAAACTGTGAAATGTTTTAAAAAATACATATTGTAATCAAAATAAATGCATTTCTGAATTTGTGCGACAAAAACTGGAATAATTGCAGATTGATGAAATTTATACATATGTATGTATGTGTTGTATGTATGAATGTAGCTTCTAAAATTAACATTTAATATTAAAATACGTTTTTAACATATTAAAAGGCACTGCTGTGTACCATCCTCTAATAGTACTAATTATTACAAAGCGTTGTTCGCACTAAAATTTTCAATTAAAACTGAACTTAAAACTTGACAAACCAAATCAAATTCGAAGATTTTTGCTTGATTTCTTTACTAAAAGAAACATTTAATTAAGAAGTTAAATGCACAAAGTAGAGATGCGGCGATTTGGGGTGCCGATAGGCGCTCACCTATACCCAAAGCACAGCGGACGCATCCTCATTGGACAGCGTGGAGAAACGCTGGTACGTATTGGCGCTGCGGTAACTTGTTTTTGTAGTTGTTGTTGTCGTGTCCCAGCGGTGTTGCATATCGTGTGTGGCTTGCAACGGCACGCCGAGCACATTGCTGGGATGGTTGGCTTTAAGGGTGGAATTGCGGCTATCACCGGCGAATTCGCCGGCCTCCATGTCGCCACTTATACTAACAGCAATGCCGCCATTAGCATTACCCAAGCTGGCGGTATCAAATTTTACGCTCGCTAACGACAAACGATTCGGTGTAGAAGTGCCATTCGATATCATTGTGGAGCATAACGGCACACCTATATCCTGGAATGAGCTGATCGAACTGAAGCCACTCTCATCTTCGGTGGCTGAGCCCAGTGGATGTTGGAGCTGCTTGAATGGCAATGCCATCGCATGAAATGGGTGATTTAACGTAACATCCTCGTCTGTCTCCACCTTGCTGGAAGATGTGGATGCCGCTGACGACGACGCCGACGACGAGGAAGATGATACTGCCGACGAATTGGAGGTGGTAGAATGTACAGAGCTGTCGGTGGAGCTGCGCAGCGATAAGCGTGAGTCGCGTATATTATTAGCGCGCAAGAAGAGCATTTCGGCAGTGGCATTGGCAAGCGAGTTAGCAGCGGGATGAACGCGACTATTGCATTTGTTCGTGGCGTCAGCGGCGCTGTGTTTCTTGCTGGTAGCGTTGCTTTGAGCAGCCGGCGCAATGAGTGTTGGGATTGTGGCTGCTGGAGACGGTGCAGGTGTCTTCAACACTTTGCTGTGCACGCCATGGGTATGGGCCGTTAGAGAGCTACGATGCTGCGTTAAGTCCGGTTGACGTGTGGATGTGTTTAGCAGATTGTGTATCGTGCGCGAAAGCCGGAAAGCTTCCTGGTTAAGCTTTTCCTCGACATCATCGGCGGCGGCTTGGGCCTTCGATTCGGCATACTTCTTGGGCGAGCGGCGCCTATAGGGACGAAGTAAAAAACAAACGCGTTAAAGTATATAAACTGTAAGAAATTCAAGTTGTTTATAAAATACCAAGTAAAGTCCTTGAATGCAGTGTATGAATTGTTGGCCGACGTGTTGATGGCATCATAACTACGCTTATCTGCTGCCGATGTTGCCAGTGTACTATGTTCGCCGTTGGCACTGTTTGATTTCACATTGCCATTTTGTATGGCTGACTGCTTGAGGTCCACGATCAGATTGCTGCTGCTGCGCGTGCGCAAGCAAGACGAAGTTGCTGTTGATTTACCACTGAAAGTGCTGTTGCCGCTGGTGTTTTGTTCATGACCTTCGCAATTGCTGCTGCCATCATAAACTTGGTAGAGACTCTTGGAACGGGATATCTGTTGTTGCTGTTGGAGTTGGCGCTGTAGCTGTTTTTGCGTTTGATAGCGATCAAGGAAGCGTGCGATCTCTTCAATGACAGCGCGATACATTTCATTACTGGTTTCGACCTGTGGAAGAGAGGTCAAGAAAGTGTCAGTTTGTAAATAAAGATGCATATGAGATTTGAAAATGATAAGCGTATATTTTTGTTAAATATTAACATTCAAATATTTGTAGTTGTAGTTGTAAATCGTAGATCACAAAATATTTCAATGTACTGCTTCTGATCATACCCAGAGGCTCAGCATGGCTAAAAGCATTCCATTGGCATATAGACCCCTTTTGTTTAAGGGAACTTCCTCCCCGATTTATTTAGCCTTTTAACGTGTCATGTATGCATATCATTAAAGATTAAAGGTGCAATCATTAAAGACGCATAAAAAAGAACTTCAGCGAAGAAAGACTCTTAAAATAGTTGGCGGCGAAGAAAGACGCGTTAAAATATTTGACGGTGAAGAAAGACCCGTATACTTATTTTCGCGGTCGACTATGTTTGCGGTGAAACGGTATGTAAATTCCCCAAAGAGTTTTTAGGGAATGACGCTGAAGGGACAGTCTTTGGCCAGGTAGAAATATATGTTTGTGCGTCTTTCTTCGTCGAAGTTTTCCTTAAGCGTCTTTTTTCGTAAAATTTTTTTTTACACGTCATTTTTCGCTGTCAAAATACTAGCGCGCCTTTATTCGCGCGTAGTGACGATCTGTTCCTCCGTCCCTGTCTAGCGTTCGGAAGGTCCCACTTTTTGTCATCTCACTGAAGGAAATTGCAGACCAAAGGACTGGTAATTTACTTAATTTATCCAAAAGTGTATCGTGATTAAGATTTAAGCCTAAGCACCTGATTTATTGGTAGCATTAAGGCGTTAAGTGCTCTCCGCCCTTCACTTCTTTACATTCCCGCAAATAGGAGAGATCTCGTTTGCGGTACCCGGTATTTATGTATACCACCTACTTTACTGAGAATTGGACGATTAATTAAGATTAGACTTGAAGATATTTTTTCGTTGTTACTTGGCAAGTTTTGCCTAGAACCTCAAGAGGTGGATTCCCAATATCCTCATCTGTTGTCAGCTAATTTAAGGAATGCTAACCTCAATCGATGTATTCATAAGGATAAGAAGGCTGCAGCTCGTGCAGATTTAATTAACGACAAGATAGTTCCCATCCTTGGGAGCTCGCCTGCAGTTTCTTTTCCGGGTATTTCACTGTTTTTCGCGGTTAACCCGTCTAGAATCCTTCTACTTTCAAATAACACCTTAGAAGAGATGTTCGTACGCTGTAAGAATATAATCGTAGCTTGGTTGTCAGATCGAATGGAAAAAAATTGTAGAGATGTTGGGGCACAAGTAGGCCAAAGGGCGACTTCCTTTATGGTAGTCTGGAAGGGGTCACAGTGGTAAGCGAGGCGTACCTGAGGCTTAGTAAAAGTTATCAATAAAAATTGCCGGGATAAGGCTTCTTCTTCGAATTTTAATGAACTACTATGACCAGTTCCCGTGTGATTGCTGAAAATGTATCCAGAGTTTGCGGGTTCCCGAACCTAAGCTTTCAACAAGTCTAGGAAATGAACATGATCTTTAAGAAGAGGCAGTACTCATCTCTAGCTCTGCGCGGTTTTTAGGTCTCACACCTGCCGTGTTATAATAATATCAATGGCCTACTCTGGGGTTCACTAAACGCTTGCCTCTCTATACTTGGAAAATAGTGGCATGCAGTGAGTGCAATCGGCAGCGATTTGGCGTTTTCCAAAATTCAGCCCAGCTTTCCTCTAGGGTACGCTCTGTACTAGCGACTGGACTAAGAGTTCAAATGTTAAATTTTTAACTTAGAACTATGAGGTGACCTTAAACTATTGGGCGTGAGCCAAATTTGAAGGTCGTACATAGTAGCGAACTGTTATCCAAGGCTTTCCCATTTATTTAAAATTTTCGTATTATACCACTTTTCCATGGAAGCAATGCCATCTGTGCCAATGTGACACCGGAGTAATTTACAATCAAAAGTGTTCATTAATTAAAAATATTACTTGCATAACATCCCGAAGATTTGCCTAAATGCCAACAAACTATGCAACAACAATTGCAACACCTTACGATGTAGTGGCAAAAACAATGCAATGGCAACCAACCAGCCTTTTGCTGAAAAGGCGGCGGCGGCGGCTCAGAGGTAGGTATTAGGTGCAGCTTAGACCATTACATGCACACATACATACATGTGTACATATTTAAGTACGGAGCTGCCAAAAAAGGTACAATATATTTACTATCTACTGATGAACAGCTAGTAAATATGAAAATAAAGGCTAGAAAAGCACACCAGTTGGGCGAAGTTGTGGAGGCTGGGGAAGAAACAATTTGGTGGCCACCCGTTGACTTGATGGTTTGGTGTTAGTTTGGCGGCGGGTTGCTGGGAGTTGAATGTTGGCTGCCAGCTGTTGGCGATTGTGCTAAGTACTCGTAATATTGTCTTTGCTGATGGTTGGTCGGTTGGTTGCACATAGTGGCAAAACAAATAGCGCAATTTTGAAAATAATTGCAAACATATATCTAATACATACAAACAGGGAAGTTGTGAATAAGGCGCATGCATGTGTATGTACATTAGACTGCATCACTCCACATACAAAAAAAAAAAAAAAATCGGTACCACCGGAATTATAAAGTCTATTATATTTTAAGACTTTCACCGAAATATTTCGGCTGGACCGATTTGAAAATACAGTTGCAAATTCAGTATTTTTGTGAATCCAGTTTTCTTTAAGTATTTTTGCAAAAAATTACTTTAAATGACAAAACAGTTTAAACTTAAGAAATTTGCATAAAATATTTTTAAAAACTTTTCAACGATATCAAAATAATAATGAGATTTTCGATGCTGCTTTTGAACTTCAATAACTCAGCCCAAAGTTTACCGATTTAGAGTTATGAAGTATCATTGAAAAGGAATTTTCTCACCCTTTTTATTTCTTTTTTTGCAACTAAGTTTATTCAAAGTATGAAAGAGGAAGGTAAGATAAATAAGCCTCATTCCATATAGAATTATGATGTGTTGGTATTTAATAAAGAAACACTTGGGACGTGAATGAGTTTTTTGCAAAGAAATGAAAAGGGTGTGAAAATACCTCTGTCTATATCGATATAGTTTTGGCCCAGTTATTCAAGTTTTTCTTAAACAAATCTATGAAAAAAGTTAAAAGCCGTATCAAAAATCTCATTATTATGATTCCGTTGAAAAAATGTTTGAATATTTTTGTGTAGATTTTTTAGAGCTTAAACTGTTTTGTCATCTGAGGGGATCTTTTACGAAAATACCTTTAAGAAATTATTTTTATTCATAAAAAACTCAATTTTTGGAGGTATTTTCCAATCGGTCCAGCTCACGTAAGTCTTAATATTTTTCCAAAATATTTTTTGTGGAAGTCTTAAAATATAAACAGTTTTGTATGAGGGGGAAAAAAAGTCTTCGTAGAAAACAAGGCAGCCCCATTGTTTTTTCGTTTTCGTATTTGTGATATCTATACCAACTTTTAATTTATATAATACTGTAACCAATATTGGACCTTGAAATGCGCTACTGAATCTATTTGAAATTGACAAAGATATTGAAGATTTTTATAAAGAGGTACTGTTGCCATGACAACTGAAGCTGCTTAACCAACTGTTTAGTTAATATATATAAGTATGTACGTCAGATTTCTAGAGTGAAATATAACAATTTTTGAGCATCCCTGAAATGTATACTTCGAAACATAAAGTTTGGTGCCGGCACCTCTTTCGGTAATAGGCGAAATTTTGGAAAGTGCCCCGAGCCCTAACACGGAAAAGTTGTTTTGGGACCACTCCAATGTACATACATACACATGTACATATGTACTTAGTACAATAATATACCTTCAAACATATGACGTTATCAGCTCGAAATGGGTGTGGCACTGCGCCTGCGGTTTATCCAAAATTTGGCAAATGCGCGCCAGCGGAATTTGAGCAGCCAAGCGGAGCCCAACCTAAAGTACATACACATACCCATTACAATAACAAAAAATGCTTAAGCGTTTAAAAGTGCAAGTTGCCGATAACACTGGGCTAAGCGGCAGCTGAAAATTATCAATCGAAAAAAATCTGGCTTAGACACACAAGCAAACAACATCTGCCTCGGGTTGTTTTGCATAAAATTGGCGCGCGAAGCTAAAACAAACACACTCACAATATTTACAAGCAACTGTTTGTTTCAGTAATGCTTTTGAAAATGTTACTGTGTGATAAATTACCCTGTAGGAAATGCAACAAGTTTTAAGCTGGCGTCTATTTAGTGATTGTTCAATTGGTTTTCGCGCTGTTCCCATTGCTTCTGCTGTTACCAAAAATGTTAGATAAATAATTTATTTTGTGTACATAAATAATTCGAAGGAAAAGTACTCTCTAGCTGCATTCGACAATCGTTATATTTTCCCTTGCTTCCTATATGAGGATATGAGTTTTCATAAAAAATGGACTTACCAACTTTCCCACTCTAAGCTAGCGATATCTTTCGTTATCATTTTACTATATCGAAAAATGTATCTTTGAATATTTCCTGCAGGCAACTTGCTAAAATCACTATCTACCCATTTTATTGGCCAAAAACTAAGTAGTAATGCGGTGAGCACCTCAGCAGCAGTCAGTAAATCTCGCCCAAGCCTTAGATGCTCATAGACATAGATTATTTTCCAGCTGCTTGATTTTTATTATTGTTACGTTTTTGTTTTTATAATTTTTTGTTGATCGAAATTTGGGTTAACTTAGTTGGCTACGTAATTTGGCTTGTCGGAACAATTTGCCCACAATGACTGTGTGAGAGCAATTGCTGTTGCTTAATGCTGCTGGAAGGGAACGATGTCGGGGGTCAAATTGGCTGTCTCATTGGCACTTGCTAACTAGTTAGTTGGCAAACGGTTAGGTTCAAGTGAGATTTGCCGGTGGCTTTTGGCTGCTTATCAGACGTATTTACGTATTACTCTGCTTGAGGTCGTCGGAAAATATTTCTCAATCGGCGTCGAGAAAGACTTTATTAATTGAAATGGTTAAATAACTTTTTGCTGCATTTCTCTTACTAAATCTAGCTTAAATGTAGTGAATGGCCCACTGAACGCTGAATAGTAGAGAAGAGTAGTTCTTCTTGTCACCTGTCTGAACTATCAAACAATTTTGTTTAAATTTCAAAAAATAATGAGTATGTCGGTTGCATATTCTATTACCACATAGCTCCACTGGAAAACACCGATTGTCTACCAACTGTCATTTTGACAGATTCTTGCGAGCATTTGCCAAATGGAAATTGTTTTGAAAATCCCCAGGTCAGAAAGAATTTTCAATGGGGTTGCCACTTGTTTTCTATAGTATATTCACTTAATTTTTTGTATAATTTAAGAAATATTTTCGTTGCGAGCGTTTTTTTTTTAATACCAATATTTCTAATTTCAACGAGCTTTTTTTAAGTATGTACATTTATATCATTTGTAATATGTGCTCTTCAACCTGTCGCACTTCTTAATAGGGTTGCCTCCTAATTTTTGATGTCAAATATTTTTAAAATTTATTAGATTCAAGAAGGAAACAATTTTTTAATTGTGTCAAATTATCATCATTATTTTTGTAGAATTCTGAGGTATTGACTCGACGAAAATATTGAAAGTATTAAAATTAAAATTATTTTTTCAAAGTTTTTTAAATTTATTAGATTCAAGAAGGAAACGATTTTTTATTTGAGTCAAAAACACTATTTTTCTAGAATTCTGAGGTATTGACTTGGCAAAAATATTAAAGGTATTAAAATTAAAATTATTTTTTCAATCTTTGTTATTTTTTTTGTTCCACTGAATACTTCTTAGGCTAAAATATTAAAGCATTGACAACCCTTTTTGTATCGTCATAATTTTTATGGAAAGAGGCATTGGCGTCGAAAAGGGAATAATTATCCAGATTATTAATTTAAAAAAATGCATAGTCAATGTATAAACAAAAGATTATGTACCATTGTGTGCGCAATTTTTGAATTACCAAAATCTATTATTTATGTTTTGTGTTCACGAAATCGAAATTATGAAAATACGAAATTTATTTCCAATATTTGTCAGGAAAAAATGTCCGGTTTAGAAAATACCAAGTATTTATGTTTAGCTTTTAAATGGCCAAAAATTTATGTCCGGTTTTCAAATTAGCAAAAATGCTTACCTACTTTTCATAAAGGAAAATTCATGTCCAGTTTATAATGACTTAGAGATTATACATATTTGGTTTTTGCACTCTCAAAAATGTATGCCAAATTCTTAATTTAACACATTGTTCAGTTTTTAAATTAACACAAATTTATGTCCAACTTTCAGTGAAAAAAAGAGAAAAACCTGTATGTAAATGACTTACCAAAAATGTATGTCTAGTTTTTTTTTAATGGCCAGCTATTTGAGTCCAGTTTTTTATGGTCAAAAGTTATGACCAGCTGCTGAATAACAAACAAATTATGTTTATTTAGCTTCTAAGCTACCATATCTAATGCCCAGTTTTTTATATTAAGTACTAAAAATCGATGTCCAGTGTTTGCACTTAAGCGCTCATATACACCTATGTACATATGAACATATCGTCGCCTGGATAAAAAATTGTCGTAAGCGCCATTTTGACGATTTTGAGCTATAGATGCAGTTATATAGTATTTTAACATGTCAATACATGTTTTTATTCAATATTTTGGAAGTTGCATAATCTACCTATTTCACATGAAAGTCTCGTGAGTGAGAAGAGCACTCAAATTGCATTTTTTAAGACAATTCAATTGTAATTTTTCATTTCTTATGGCACTCAAAGATCTTTACCAACTTTTTACTCAAATGAAATTGCAGACAAATTGTGTTTTAGTTGCCGATCAGGTGCTTGTGCTCATAAAATTTTGATGGTGATTGAGGAAAGAAGTGAAGTAACAATGATGGACAAAGCGACGATTGAAATTGATGTACATACAATACATACAGTGACTCAAACAAATTACCAAGGGTTGATTTTATTTTTTTTAATATTAGTAATGTTCTTTGAGTCACAGTTTCAAACTTTATACAAAATTTAATTTTTAAATTTTTAATTTGAATCTTTAGAACATTTACGGGTATACACTTTTACAGCCCATGCAATTTAAGTCTAATGAAGAGCAAGTTTTAAAACGGCTAAAAAATCCCTTTAATTTTTGGAAATATTTTTTGGTGAAGTATTTTTGCACGTTTTTCTAGAAAAACCTGCTCTTCATTATACTAAAATTAAATGGGCTCTAAAACTGCATACCCCTAAATGTTCTAAAGATTCAAATTAAAAAGCTGAAATTTCGATGAAAATTTGTTGAATTTTTCTAAATTTTGTATAAAGTTAGAAACTGTGATTTATATGGTTGTTGGTAATTTTGATGGTATTTTTTTATAGAAAAGCAACAAAAAAAAATTTGCTCGAAAAACATTACGAGTATTAAAAAAAAAAAAATCAACACGTGGTTATTTGTTAGAGTCACTGTGTATGTGCTATTACTTGTTGTCCCAATGCTGTACATATAAATATGCCTGTATGAGTGCAAACAACTAAATGAAAACTTTAATAGTGAAGAAAATAGCAACAACAATAAAGCAAATTGCTAACAAAAAGAAAAAGTGTAACATGGCATTAAAGCATAACGCTAGCTATTCAAGCACGAAAAAGTAGATGATAGATGAAGTGAATTAATGGAACAGCCTACAAATGGCCGATTGACCGACTGACTGCTGCGCAGCCGTTCGATGGCGTTATTAGTTGGTGAACAATTTTATTAATGAATTTTTATTACCGTTTTTTTTTTGTTTTTGTTTTGGTACGAAGCCATTAAAGCTGGATGCGTGCGTAAAAAATGTGAATAGAGAGTATGTTTTTTACACTCAAGATATGCAGATGTGGTTAAAGCTGAAGACAAAAGACGATATTAAAACTTCGCAGTAGTTGCATATTTTCATTGCTAAAGCTTCAAAATCAAGGACTGTGAAGCCATATTATACATCAGCATAAAGTGTCTATTGTGCCACTTGGTCCATAGACAGTCCAACGCCACCACTATTAGACCAAATGAAGGCACTGACAAGCGAGCTGAGCTTGAAGTACGTATATCTTCTAATGCGCATTCTTAAACCATAAATGGGCGGAGGTAGCCATTATTTCCTCTTCATTGGCAGCGCCATTTAACCTTTGTAAATACTAATTGTTATTATGCGCATTGGCAGAACGCAAAAAAGGCGGAAGCCACGCTAGTGTTGGTGTGCGGCGTGTGGCTTTCTCAGTTGGTTGATTTATTTTACACACAAAGGCATAATCTATAAATGCCTGCGAATATGTACATAGATGCTTGTTTGTATATGTGCTATTATTAACATTAAAAAGGCGTGAGAACGGAAATAATGGCATGAAAAGAACCTTTTACACTCAGCATTTAACATTAGACGGTGTCTGAACTGTTCTGTTGAGGTTGGTTAAGTGTTTACTTATGTGTATGTTTATGTATAGAGCAGCAAGGTACAACACATTATAATAAATTAATCGAAATTACGCGTCAAGCTTGCTCGAAATGAATGCAATCAGTTGAGCTTCTCAGTCACTTTGGTAAAAGACCACCCATCGAGTTGCTCGCTTAAGTCTTTTGATTTCCTGGTCGATTCGAGAAAAAAGGGATACTTAACATAAATACTTCTTTACTTTACTACTTGCTTACCTGCTTCAATTGCCACTGCAATGTGTTCACTTGATTTTGCAGCAATACCGCTTGCACATTCGCTGTTGTCGCTGCATTATCGCTGTGATGCGCCTTAAAGGCGGGTAAGCGCTGTTCGATGCAGTTGCCAGGTGGAGTGCTGCGGACTGCAGTTGGTGACGGTGTTGTTGCTGCAATCGGCTTGGCCGTGGCGTAATGAGTTGTTAGCATCGAACGTGTGGCAGCTACTGGTGGCAAAGCTGCTGTTGCAACATTATCAACATCATCCTCAACGTTCGCGTCATCCTCGACATCAGCAAACAGCAGATTGTCACACTGAAAAAGGGGGCAAAAAACGGGAAAAATTAAAAGCTTGTCTAAGCAAAAAAAATGCGCACAACAAGCTGCAAAAATGAGCTCGGCTGTAGCGCTGTATGTGTTTTGTTTTGTGGCAGCTGCGTTTGTGTGCGTTCGCCACAACAACAGAACCAACAAGTTTTTGTTTGTTTTCATGCATTTCCGAGACACCACACTTCCTCTTCAAATTAAATTATCAAATTGTTGGCGCAATAAGTTGTGCCACTTGAATTCGGAAACTTGTTCGCCGATACCGAAATACGCACACGCTTACCCACACAGCAATGCGCCGTTAATAAAAGTAGTTCAATTTTTTGTTTTATATTTTCAAATGTTGGTTGCGCCTTTTGACGGCCTGCATTAATTATGTTGTTTTACAGTTGGAATGTTTAATTGCAGTTTATACATATGTACGAGCATACAGTCTGGGCGTACTCACACCCGGGCACACACGTACATACCTACATATATATATATATATATATATATATATATATATATATATGCTCGCTAAGTAAATGAATTCAGGTAAGAGCGGCTGCTGAATTATGTGGCTTATACATATTTACTGGTATTAGCACTTATCCGGACAGACATGTGTGCATAACTGCAATTGAATAAAAGTGTGAAAATGAAATTTAGGAATGGCCAAAATTTTAGTGCTGGAGCTACAAAGCTACAAACGTACATTCATTAGATGTTTTTAATAAATACTAGTTGCATGGAAGGAAAAAATATGAACTTCCGCATAGCAGATCAACAGCGAGGAAAAATTTATTTTTTTTGAAAGTTTATATGTATGTACATATATGTAATTTCAAATAATTGAAACAACGAGTGTATGTGGTGTATGAGTTTGTTTGTCTACACTTGGTTTGGATAACTGCGGAGAGGAAATGGCGATGTTTTTGGTTCTCGGCCCAAAGCGACAAACTGCAATAAGAAGACGCTTTTTTTAAATTAATTAACCCCTAACTAGTAACTCAAAGAGCTTTTAGGTGATAAGTATCTGTCTACTACTTATTTGTATACTCAGTCGGAATCAGTACACCTTCAGAGGTCCGGCCTTCATTTGATAAAAAAATTGTTCTTCAAGAAAAGAAAAAATCATTCTGGATATGTAATATGTACATATGCATTTATAGAGTCAAGTTATAAGGCAAGAATACCGATAACGATAAAATAAGTATGACGATAACATGCAAAAATAACTTTCAATAACAGTACTTCTATTCACATCGATAATGACATTCACAGAAACATCGTGGCATATAAAGATGATGTGATAAAAGAAGTCAATGCTTTTCCAACAAAAAATATTAGATGAAGGAAAAAATTGATATCATCTAGATATCGATAAAAATATCGAAAAGAAATTTGACAATAATAGAAGCTACAGAAAAACTACAATCGATAGTCACACCAATAATTATTTTAACATCGATTCCTATAGCACCGTTAAACATATCGATTGAAATATACTTTAGGTTAACCCCCTGGGCTGTTGTTGGTTACTCAAAAGTGTCCGGAATATTAGAGCGATATTCTTTATACGAACATGCAAATATAGTACAGGTAAATAAAACGCTATATATGCAACTGAAATGAGCAAATAACTTTAATTTATTATTTTCGAACCAGCGCAATTCTCCTTTTAACCGATCTTCCCTAAAAGCCATTACGTGAACGCATTAAAATAAATGCGATTGCAAATTTATTTGCCCTGATTGCTTTAACTCTCTCTCTCCTCTGTGCCACTAATGTGTCATCATTGTCATTGTTGTTGCATATACATATGTATGTATAACGTTTGGTTAAAAAAAGATGCCACACAATAGAAATTTAATAGAAATTTGTATTTTATTTTTTTTTTGCAAAATATCTGCATTGTTAACAATTTTAAATTGTTGCGGCTGAAAATTGTTGTTATTTTCGTTGTGGCACAAATTGTGGCCATCATTGTTGTTGACTGCGGCAGTGGTACTTATGTATATACATTTGTACATATGTATGTCTGTATGTATCTATGTACCCGGTAGCAAGCTATCCAATTGCTCTCTCATCATCATTATCAGACACAACTTCACATACATTCATGCACACAAATGGGTGTCTCTGATTAAATGCAGACTTGCAAAAAGGTAAACATAATATTATGTAGGTAAACATATAAATACTATACGTGTAAGTGAGTATGCAGCAATTTTGATGAAAATCGCATAATTGAACAAAAATTTTGCTCTGCACAAAAGAATGGAAATGCTGAGCTAATTTTGTGTTCAGTTACATACATACATATGTACCAACATACTATATGCAGCTGATTGTTCATGAATAGATTTACGTATTTGTTATAAATATATGTACATACATATGCAATTAAAAATTGATGATGTGGCGTATTTTTTGTTTTTATAAAAATTGCATTCAGCACTAAAATAGCTATGTATGTCTGTATGCGTGTGTAGGGGTGTAATTATAAAAAATACATGTCATTATTTATTTCTGGGTCACTTAGCTTCTGCTACTTCATTTTTAAATTAATTACTAAGCATATGTCCGCTTAGCGGTAAGTTATTCTGCTTAGCAAATAGGCCCACATAATTTAATGGTTCTCTGCTGTAACAAAGTCACCAAAGTTATACTTACAGAAAAATTATATAAAAACTGTTGGATGGTTAAGGGTGCAAATGACTTCCAAATATTAAGGGATCGATTTAGAAAATTCTCCTGGAAAACAAAATTTTTTTAAAAACTAATCCAATGAAAAGATTCAGCAGGCCTTGGAAAATTCCCATCGATGATAATGGGTGAAGGACTAAAGCCCTTTATGAACCAATTGCATGGGCCTTATTAGACCGCTTTTCGCATTACAAAGGGAAGCTGTCTCTACAACGCCATGTCTAAATTTTGGATAACTGAGAAACTAATACGGGGCTATGTAGGATAACGTTGAGCACATTATTTATCTCCATCCAATTGATAAGGAGCTCTACGCATCGTTCGAGACTTAGCGAGGCTCCCTTTCGTTCAATTTGATTTTGGAAAACGTAATAAGAGCTGCCAATCTGAATTGCCGACGTATGCAGATGACGTTGAAAGAAAAAGAACCAAAAGAGGTTGTGGTCTAGCAAAAACTGTTGGATGTTTAAGGGCGAAAAAAGTTAAAAATATTAAGAGATCGCTTTCAAAAAATTTCTAAGTAAAAAAATTCTGAATTCACGCAAATCTCAAATACTCGTATTTGGCACGGTGCAGATTAGAGCGATACGATACGCGATACCATATGCGGTGTGATAGCAAACCGTGTCGCTCGCCGCAGTGTCGCTGTCGTACAAGTGTGCACAGTTTTCATCGCTTCCTATCAATTCCCACGTATTCAGCAGTTCACTGTCGCTTTCGTATCGTCTCGCTTATCGCATCGGCTATCGTATCGCTCCAATATGCACCGTGCCTTAGTCTTTCACATTTTCATATCCAGTGTTGCCAGAGAAGAATTTTGTATGGAGCTAAAACGGTCGAAAAACGAGCTAAGAAGAGCTAAATAATACCAGCAGTAGCTAAAAGGAAGAGCTACATATTTTTGTTGAGGTTGTGCACATATTGACTTAAGGTTGTTTTTTAGATTTTCTGCAATTTTAATAAAAACACCGAAGTTTATAAGCTTAAGTGCTGAAAAAATCTTTTAAAACCAAAATAAGGTGCATATAACTATTTCGAATTCGTTGCACTAAAAATACTTTACTGTTAAAGTCTGCAATTTCAGATATTTGAATTGAATAATATTTTCGCAAAATTTTTCTGGAAAGTTTTACTTCCAGCTCTCCTTAAAGGTAAAATTAGTAAGGTAAAACAAAATGGGCACTATCAGAAAAGGGATTTTCTTCTAATTAATTTTTGAATTCTTTAACCTAGATCCAAGAGTTTACTGCATCTCGAAGTTTTCCATTTTATCAACGCTTAAGTTTTGGCTTATATATACCAAATACAACTAAAACTTTCTGGAGCTAAGAAAGTGTTAGATAAATTTGAAAAGAGCTAAAGAAAGAGCTAGGAGCTAAAACCCAATTTTCGGAGCTAAATAGAAAAATAAAGGGCTAAATCTAGCTCCAAAAGCACCAAAATGGCAACACTCTTCATATCCGCTGTTTAATGCTAAAGCTTTTTGTCATAAAGAACTCATGATCATCAGTAAAGGATGCCTTCTTTTCCCAATGGTTTGCCTCCACATTAAAGCGACTCTGTGTGATGTACGGACTGGTGAAAATTAAGTTAAGCTCTACACTTTTCGTCATAAATCTTTCAAAGCATTCATCGAGCTTGACATTGGCCGAAAGGCGAAAAACGTTTGATTTGTATAATTTTAAAGGTCAGAATACAGAACATATATGTCTGTAAAATATTAATTGCTAGCAGCTTGAATTCTATAAAGGCAATTTGAAAGCCATGAAAGAAATTAAAATGGAATAGCATTGATAAAATGCCAGACATGTTAGGCAAATAGAGTACAGCTGTTTCAAAAAATGCGAGTAAATAATTGCTTTTGATGTCATATTGAAAAAAACAGGCACAACAAAGCCACAAGCGGAGGTGCTGAGGGGTACATTGAGGTCTCAAGCCACTTGTAATTAAAAAATTTAGAGATTTCGTTATAGCCCAAAAAAATTTTGTTATAAAAGCGGTTTCCCTTCGGTAATCCATGGAAAACCTCTGCCATAAAAACGCTTTTTGGGGGAGAAACTCGACCACCAATCGTTTTTAAGGAAACTCGATCTTGCACCTAGAAAACTGAATATATTTGTGAAAACAAGCTCATGGTTTCTAGAGTTGGATATCTGTCAAAATATCGAAATCAAGGCAAAAAACGACCAAAAGTCTTGACTTTTTCGTCTGCCCACTTCAAACGAAAGACCTTTGTCAACCATTTTTTTTTTGTAGCGCTATAGTATCCCTATCGCTATCTCGCCATCGTTAACGCT